AACAACCTAGTTCCTTTTCTTTTTTGTTTTAACTGTTGACGCACGAACTCTCTGGGGTCACCGTTTTTTGAAAACAGTTTGAACAGGTAATTGATTTCGGCTTAGTAGAGTTCGGTACTAGAACAATGCGTTCTTGCTCGATTGATTAGGGTGGTAACGGCACTCCGTTTGTGAGCAGCAGGGTGGTTGTTCTCGTAGTGTAGGATGGCATCCGCGTGTGCTTTTTTGCGGTAAACTGATTTTTATAGTGTTCCGTCAGTATTCTGCTGTACGAGGACGCCGACGTCCTTCTTGGAATGCCGATTTTCCAGGTTAGTTTATTCATGGTCTATAGACATGGGATGTCCACGTAGACATGTACCGAAGTTTTGATGTGTATATTTGGTCCGAATTTCATCGGCTACTGTCTGGAATTTTAACTCGTAATTTCGCTGCCAGGATAGTAAATTACAACACCAATATTTGTTACTTCTGTCTGCCTGTTGGCAGCATGCGTATATAAGTTTGTTACGCCGCAGTGGCCCATGGAGTTCAGCTCAAATGTACACATCACATTTCGGTCTATGGCTTTATACCGTGAATATACTAATATATATATATATATATATATATATATATATATATATTGCGTGAACACAAATTAATTTATAAGGAAATTAGATAGTGGAAGGTTGTTATAGTTGCATAAAAGTCAAAAGGGAACAGGTGAAAACTCGCAGTTTTAGAGTCATTTTCTCCACTGCTACACAAATAGTGATCTGAACAGAATTGGATTTCGAAAGTAGCCAGGGATGACATTCGAACCTCAATTAAAATATAATCGACGCTTTTGATATTTTATGCAATTTCAGGCAGGCAGTTGGACGTAACTGTCATCGTATGAGATTATTGTACATTTTTACTCCAAATTCCGATGCCTATTTAAAGGAGCAAAGAAAAATTTGTCCGAGAAAAAGTCGTTGGAGGACGCCAATAGAGCAAGGGTGCAGGAGCAGAAGAGAAGGACTCAAAAGTACTTTTTGCCAAAGTTAACCTAATTAGACTTCTTGTAACTCCAAAGGTGAGTGCTCTCGCTTAAAAATAAAGCAATTGCAACTGGCTTAGAAAGAGCCAACATTTACTAAAATTGAGGGAAGGGAAGGAAATGAAGCAGACGCCATTGCTTCCAATGTCTGGTGTGTGGGAAGTTCGAGGGACCTCTTTAGTACCAACGCTATGATAGAAGAAAGTTAAAAAATTCCATTCAATCAGTGATCTTCTGATTAACTATGTAGAACGCAGTAACGTGTCTCATTGGTTGACTCCCAAGAAGGATAAAAAGTCTTTTTTGAAGATAAAATATTCCCTATAAATCGTAAATAGGAATTCAATGAATGCAAGAGAAGCACACTCCCTATATTTGGCACTCAGAAACTTTGCCCACCAAAGAAAAAGAGTCAGAAAAAGATCACTTTTGACTTACTTACCTTCATCAACGAAAGACACTCAACCCCAGGAAGACACTGAAAATTCTAGCCGAAGACAGTTGGCCATCGAACACTTTAAAGTTAGCTATTCTACCACTTAGGCTTCGAAATCATTACAGGAATTATTGACCGTAATGTGGGACGAAAGTTCACCGACCTATCCTGTTTGCTAGACAAAACGGACACTTCCACGTTGTCTTGAAAGGCCCGGGACTGGATTCTTCGCGGAGGATTGTATAACAGCCAACAGTCAGGTAGTACTAGAAAGCTGCTACGACTAAGATTGATTTGGAATAATATAATCCCTCAAAGAGCATATAATGGTAGATTTGTTACTGACTGCGACGTGGTAGTTGTTAAGTAGGCAGGGAAAGAAAGATCCGTCCGTGAAAGAAAGTGAACATTAATACAAACGTTCGTTTCTCTGCGCACTGGGTGTTAAAAGGTAATTTTTTGGTCTATGGGGATTTCACTTAAAGAAATTTTTCTTAAGTAAGTAACAAAAATCTAACCAGGCTCCTAAATTGTCTTAGCTTCCGGCCGCAACTGCTAGCCTTATTAAAGATAAATATTTTACGACGCATAATGAACTGGCGTGAAGCAGTTGGCTGAATGACGCTTTAAGCAGGCTGAAGTTAAACGACCACAAAATAACACGGATACACTTTGGGTTAACTGCTGGGCGTCCGTTTTGCGCAGACGACTACACAGAGGAAAGTAGTCAAAGCCACCTGAACAGGCGTATTTTCCTCTGACAATCAACAACAAAAACCAAACCCATGTATACTTGAGAAAAGAACTGATGGGTAGGTAGTTTGGTTGAAAAAGGGCGAAATCTTTAAAAAGTCGAAGAGAGCGGGCGGTAAAGGAAAATACGGCAGAAAATGGTGGCATACATTAAGTGATACAAAGAAAAAGAGACCTAAAAAGACGGCATACAGGAAGCATACGGTTTTAAGGCATACGAAGAGAACAAATCAGAGTTAGTGAAATGATGAAAAACAAAGCTCCCACGAACTACATAGGTGAGGAGGATGTGGGAGAGGGGGAGGCGGAGGCGAAGGGAACTCGGAAGGCATCAGGGAGTGGAGGAAGAGAAAATAACGAGTGGGGATTATAAGAAGTGCAGGAATGCGAGGTAGTATACTGTGCTTTAAAGTATGGAGGAAGAATACAAGAACTGGTGGAACAGGAAATGAAATGAGGAGGAGGAGGAGGAGGAGGAGGAACGAGGCATAGGAAAAAGGCATGAACGTAGTTGCACTTACGCCGGTCAATCATAACAACAGCAGGTGATGGGGGTGCGGGCCAATCATATCGGTCAATTACAGGCAGGCTGTTTGCATCGGGGATTCGAGCACTCGGATAGGCGGCCAGACGTCGTGCTTCAGCCTGGTAGAGGGCTGCCGTCTCCGGGCTGCAGGATCGCGGCTCCCGTGGTGCCCGCATAATCATGTCAGCTGCAAGACACCACAAATTTAATTTAAAAATATATGCGCAGACGCGAATTAGGTGGAGACTGTTCAACTTTTCAGATGAACAAAAACATGAGGTTAGTTAACTAAAGTGCCTGCGCACCACGCGAATGCCTAAAGCCTAGAGTTGAAGACAAACACCTCAGAAAATTGTCATCTTCATAGAAACTGATTCACATCAATTACTCTTTATCATCTGAGTAAAAAAATATTCCGCTTTATAAACGGCTCTCTCCGCATGCTGGACGTTCTGTTGTCCTCCATCTCAGGGGCGGGCAACTGCCTTAGGCTGCAGTGTCCGTATTCAGCACAGGCACCCTCGTTTGAGTTTCTCTTATCGTGGGGAAGCAGAACTGCTAGGCTCCTGGGACTAACACAGGCACAAAACAAAAGCCAAGAAACGTAAATTTATCCTCCTACTTTGAAAAAGACCATGCCGATTTTACTAAGTGCAACACCTGAAAAAGTGCCTGAGGGTACATAATTTTTCAACATACAAAATGCATGTCTACAACGGTACTCTGATTGTGAGAGTTAGGTCAAAAAGGAGCAAAAAAGCTTGAAGAGTAATGTGTGTATGTGTGTTAAGCCCACAAACATAGTGCAGAACAGAAGAGCTTCAAGGCTAAACGAGCTTTTATTAGCTCTCCCAGACAGTTGTGCAAAATTGCGCCAAAAACGGTCTACTAGACTTCCATTTTAGTGCATCTACATCGAGCTCACGGGGAAAGTTATAGCCAATCATGAACCACGACGATTGCCGTTTCCATAAGTAAATTAGAGGGCGGAAAAAACCGAGCTAGGTTTGCGGCACGGATAAAAGACATTCTTTTTACACCGTAAAACCCCCGGCAGACTGCTGACTGCGACCTCTCTGTCACTGACTGCTCGCGTAAACTCATTCGCCCGCTTATAGCTCGCTTAGTTCTATCCGGTTTCCGGACCCGGTTAACGCCCAGTGGCTTTTGCACTGACCCGGGTGCTTCTTCATCGGATTTCTTCGCGATGAACAGTCACCGAGCCGAATACGACGCTCATCCCTATACTTCAGAAAATTTACTCTCTCGCTCTCTCTAGAAAAATATGCAATCTATCTGGGTGACACCTGGGGAAGAACAAGTCCGCACATTGTCTAACAAAAAGAGCAGGTCGAAAGAAGGATTTCGGTGATGCTTAAGAAACAAGTTTTTTTCCAGAAAACCACTATAAGACAGTTTTTTTGAGGATAACTGGTAGGGACAGGCCTAACGACCAGTTACTACACTGTCCTGATTACTCATCCAACGGTGCAATATTGATTGGTATCGTCCGCCCGAGTGTTGAGATCGATCAAGCCGCCGGCCGTGATTAGTGTTCTGTCCTATTAGTCTGTGCAGGCCGACAGCCAATCAGATTGTTACCCCTCAAGAGAACACTGTGATTGGTCCAATCTTGTATGCTTCGCTTGCTATAAATACTCTGTACTAGTTATGGAAAAAGACTTCTGCTTTTGCCCTCTTCTTGTCGTGTTCTTCCTTGGGGGCTCACAAAAAGCGTAGCTAGACGGCGATATCGCAGCTTTGGCTACCGTTACAACAAGAATGACAGATGATTGCTGCAGAAAAAATGTGCTAGTCACCGAATGGGAACGCCTACCTGCCAACACTATCCAGCTAATCAATTCCTTGAGGAAGAACGAGAGGGCATACATGAGCTCAATTTTCAGCATTCTAGTAAGGGTAAAAACGAACTTGAATGAATAGCCAAGAGATTTAATTCTGCCCACTATCTACGAGTTCCCTGTAACATTTCTTGTATCGGAGACCAGCAGTGACCGCTTAAACAAACGAACCTGCGAGGAAACCAGCAACTGGCAGTTAGCCTTGGGAAATAGTCAATTCACACTGGGGTTTTGCTGGATCAGCCGCATAAAAAATTATGCTTTCGATAGTGGAAGCTTTAAACTGCAGGTTTCAGCGAAGAAAGCTCAAACAATAAGCATGATCTCTTCTAAGACAAAAGTATATTGAACAAAAGAGCAGGATACTGTTTGCGCAATTAACAGTTACATCAGCCGCACTGAGCCGCGCTTAAACCAGTGTAATTATGATTAAACAAATGCCTTAATATACAAGTTTATGGAGGGTTACGGTAGGGAGGAAAAATTAATAAGGATGGTCAAGAGAAAATTCTTTTAAAAAATAGGAATATGGACATTGCAAGATTGCGAGATTGCCAAAACAATTTGCATATCGTAAAATGAATATGAAACGAGGGTAAATGGTGTGCAATTAGTGAAAAGCGATGAATGTGATTCCATTACTTGGTATAATACAAGTCATGAGCATGAATTCCAAATAGATCCTAGAAATGTGAATTGGCGTGGTACTCAACTAAATTATACACTTCCCGCGTAAATTTATGAAATTTCATAAACATTCTCTGAAACACACTTGGATGAAAACATATAAATGAAAGTGCAAAATTAATAATATATGAAGTCATTCTGACATTTAAATGAAGTATATCTTAACTACTCAAATATCTTACAAAAAGTACCACGTAAGTAGTGTATACTCGCTTCGTGCATTATCCATAGATTCAGTAATATTTTACAAAACGATGGAGAAACAGATGTACTTAATATGATGCAAGCAAAATTTCGCATACCGACGATCGTGTACTCGAAAGGAGAGAGTATTGGGAGTTTGGGACACGAGTGTGATTATTCATGTAGTCTATTGTCTTAAAACTTTACAATGCGGCTTACAAATCGTGTTTTGCGGTGAATATCGACTGCAGTTGTTTAAACGATATCGAACATCGTTTATTATGCGTAAGCGAGGTCATATGAAAACGCATCATAAAAAATAGATAAAAGACTCGTAAAAGGAGAACATACACGCTTCTGGACTGTACATTATAATATTTGGCAACAGTAGCTTACAGGGGTATTCATTTATATAGACCCCTGTATGCATTTATATAGACC